AGTATCTTAAAAGCAAATGTTGTATCAGTTTCAGGTGAATATTTCCTGAAATTCCTCTGAAAAATATATTCGTTATTAGCAAAGGGATAAATGTATTGATTGGTATTTCTCCTCTAGATTTCTGGGATTCTACTCTTTGTTTTAGAATTAAAAGGAACCACTTTTAATTCATTATATATTGCAAATATGAGAAATTCCTAATATTCTGAAAAGTGAAATAATGCAAATGATATCAGGGAAAAACATGGATTTTTGCTCAAAGCACATTTTTTTGGGTTTATTACTCTGAGATAGGCATAATCATTCCTTATATAATTTGCTCATTTGAATATAGAAATTTTTAAAATTCCTGTGGAATATCTTTTCTTTCAAACTTTTTATTTTGAGATAATGGTAGAGTCACAGAAAGTTGTAAGGAACAGTACACAGAGATTCCCTTACACTCTTCACTCGGTTTCCCCCAGTGGTAACACCTCAAAAAACTATAATACAATATCACAACCAGGAAACTCACATTGATACACTCTCCAGACCTTATTCAGATGTCGCCAGTTTTACACGCACCCGTGTGTGTGTGCATGTGTGTGTGTGTGAGTGTTTCATTCTATACAGTTTTATCACATGTGTAGACTCAGGTGACCATGTGAAATATGTTTTTAAGCATTTCCTGCTTTTAGTGTTTCATCTTGGCTTTACCTTTGAATGCATCCATGTCTGTATCTCTTAGATTCTATGTCTTCTTTATGGCTTTGCTTCTTGGCTACACTAACGTATTCATCTCTTCTTTGAATTTTATTGCCTCATCCGTGAATTCTTTGCTAGCAGAAAGCTTTGTATTTGGTTTGCTTTCTGCAGCACATTTATCCCTTCCCAGGACAAGACACAAACATAAACAGACTTTCCAGCATACACTCACAGGGTTTTTAAAGACACCAATGAGAATAGATTAATATAAATACTAAGCTTAAAAACTGTCATAAAAGTTCAGCCTTTAAAACTGGCTTATTAAAATATTTGTTTTTTTTTAAAGCCCAGATTTAAACTACAGTTATGAGTTATAGTGATCTGCTCAGAAAGAGTTTACTTTATGATCTTTTCACCAGGCGAAAGGAATCTGGCATCTGTGCCGTCTATCCAAAATATAGTGAAGCAAGGAGGATGAAAACTCAATTCTTTCAGGTTCAAGACTTGTCTGAAAATAGCATAGCTTTCAGAAAACCTCAGTAAAGTACTACATTTCAAATGACCTCAAACAGCCACTCTCCAAGTCCCAAGCCTCCGGCTCCCACTCTGGCCAGATGGGTAGCAAGACCTGCTTCCTGCAAGATTTAGAGTAACTACAAACATTTAAGGAAACAATACCCACGTAACAGAGGTCAGCCTCTACATCAGATCTTTTCAGTGGGCATTTTATAACAAAACATCATTTATATTTCAAGTAGCTGGGCCATTCATTCTACTTCTTCCCCTGACCAACCAAAAGCTCTCCTAGGATTCTGCATTTCCATTCACCATAGGGGATTCATTTTCTTTCAGGACCAGCTAGCATTCTGAATTTAGCCATTAACGAACACCTCCAAAAAGTCGATTTTCAGGAGAGAGGAAAAGGCTTACACATATCGGATGGTTAGAGGGTCCTACTCTGTTCTCCAAAGTAACTAAAAGTTCTTAGGGAAAAATAAGTAGTATTTTGAGGGTGGGAACCTACTGAAAATCTATGCAGATGGCAGAAGTTAGAGAGATATCGTCTTTAACCACAAAGCAGAGAACATGAAAAATGTCTGATAAGTAATCATCACCTCCCCACACCCTCCCAGCCAGGTGCCCCGCCAACCCTGCACCGAAGACTCAGGCATTTAACGAGAAAACTGAAAACTCCTTTGGAGATGTTCAGATTAGATGAACCCTGCTGACTGTCCAAAGACACCTGATTTATTGTGTATTTGTATTTTTAAATACCAGGCCAAAGGAAAGAGTCAGGATAAACATTAGCACCAGCAGTACTCTGATTCTTCCTGTGTTTCTCTTTACATCAAGGGGCAATTTCGGCGTCTAATGTGGCTGCTGCTCATCTAGACACAGCTTGTCTCATATCGCTCAATAGACGTTAAAATCACATACAATCTATGGAAAGGTCTAGAAATTCCTTACTAATACATACACCTAATGCGTCTTAAAAATGTTGCAAATAAATAACAAATGGCATGGAGCAACATTTTCAGGAAATCAAACCAATTATGACTGTATTTATACTCATACAGACTAGCAGCTTAAAAACAGAAAGAATGCAGAAGCTTGTCGAACATGCCTGATAAGTAAAAACAAGGTGCGCCCAGGATCATCAGTGGGTCAAAGATTTTCCCATTTCCCTTCTCCTCTGTACAGAGTGGGTATCTATCCACCTAAGGAAACTGGTTTATCAGACCTAGTCAGTTATATTCAAGTACAGAAAAATAAAAATAAATGGGCCCCATGGAGATCACTTGCTCTCCAGCTGAATGTGTTTATCTCTTACATGTCAGGGACTTTTTTCCCAAGAAAACTCTTAATGCTTTTCATTTATTCATTATAAGTAATACCTTTTATTTTTATATAATGTGAACTGTGCTCTATGTCTGATTCTCTGTTTTAGGAATGCGATTCTTTTCAAATGAATTTCAAAAGATCCTACGAAATTCCTGCATTAAGGTAATACCTCTTGCTTTTGTTTTCAATAATTTTCTGGAGGGAAGTCTTAATGATAATTCTGTTGACTTTTTTCTTCAACAAAGCTATATATGTGTATGTTTTAAAAAGACGACGTTCCTCATCTGTTTGTTCTTATTTCAGATGTGCTATAAACTATGCATGGTAGAGAGGGTAAATGGAATTAACTAATGGAAGCTCATAATTTAGGCAGCAAAAACCAGAATTAATGTATTATCCCACTGTAGCATTTTAGTACTCGGCCAATCCAAACTTTCTTTCCTAGGGAAATATGTGATTGAGACACTTTCCATCTGCTTTTGACAAAGATAGGAGAAGATCCCCGTAAGTTATTCTCTGCTAAAAATTCTTTTTAAAAAGCCTATAAAATGATTATTGTCTTAGGGGCCTATTTCACCAAAAGAATTTTCAGTGGCACAGAAATAAAAACTAAAAAAATAAAATAAAATCCACCTGTGCTAGATCAGCCTTTCAGAGCCACAGCAAAAACATTTGCAGATATTATAAAACACACAGGAAAGGAATGGATATGCTTGGGAGAATGGGCGGCTGCACGCTCTTGATTAATCTAAATTCCTTCTGTGTGAAGTGGAGACGTGAATAAAAACACTGCACGATGAGCGAGAAACTAAAACATACCAAGTACGAAGGATTTCTAACCCGGCTCTCTCTCCACCAAAAATCCTGCACCCTTCACTCCATCGTCTGAGAGAGGCGTGGTCACAGAGCCTTCTGGAAAGGACAGGACAGCATCTCCGCAGTTAGACATTGCCTAAGGGGCTTCTAAGGTGTCTGGTGAAAAGAGGCCGGTGCAGGACGTCCTGAGCGCTCTACTAGAGGAATCCAGAACTTCCAATGCTCTCGGCAGCCGTGTCCCTTTGCCTTCTCCGGCGCCGGGCCCTGTCGCACCTCCTCCCTTTCCCTGCAAACCTGTTTCCCAGCCTGGACCCCTCGCGCTCTCCTGCAGGGCCGAACGCTCGGTCGCAGCGCGGCTAGAGCCCCCTCCCAGACTCTCGAGGTTCAAGGCTGGGGCCAGAGGCTCCCAGCTCCAAGGTCCACTCCACCTGCCTGCGGGCAGCCGGGGTTCCCAGCGGCGGTGTCCGCGCTCCGGTCTCCGCGCCTCAGCCTCGGCCCTGTCCTCCGCGCTCGGGGCGCGGATGGTCCCCGGCTTTCGGGCTGCACTGGCCCCCGGAGCCGCCAGCAAAGGGCAGCGTCCTCCCGCCTTCCCCAGGCAAACCCAGGCGCCGCCGGTCCGCACCTCTGCGCCCACCGGTCGGGCCAGGGCGCCGACGGCCGGGTCCCCGAGGCGCGGGCCGGGACACCCTGCAAGAGCAGTCGAGGAGAACTGGGTGTCCGCACGACGAGCGCGCTCTGCCATTCCCCGGGAACGGGGCGAAGCCACAGCCTGGCACGGCACGGCACGGCACGGCCCAGGCAGCTTCCCGGGCGGCCTCCGCTCCGAGAGACGCAGTGGGTAAGCTGGTCCTCAGATCTCTGCCCCGGCCGGCTCCGGGCAGTTCTTCTGATGCCCACTCCCCCGACACTCACCCACAGGCCCCCACCTCCACAGAAGCAAGGACGGAAAATACCACTGTCACCAGTCGGCACGTTCGCGACTGACACCCTGCCTGGGAGCTTGCACAAAACCACAGGGGTGCCCCGGCACCTGGAAGCTTCCCGATCGACCCCCGTCTGTCGCTAGGAGGAAAAGCGCACCCCATCCTCGCCGCCGGGGCCCGCCCGCTGAGGAGGGCGCCCGTCGCGCGCGCAGCACCTACCCTGGCGCGCCGGTCCGGACGTGGGTGGCGCGGCGCTAGTGGGAGGCGGACATGGACCACGCGCCCTCCATGCGCCACACGGAGAAAGCGTAGCTGAGGCGCTCGTGGGCCACGTAGCTGCAGCTGGTCATCTTATTGTCCATCTCGTCGCTCTGCAGGACCTGGTAGAGGAAGTCTATGTACCTGGCGGCCAGCTTGAGCGTCTGGATCTTGCTGAGTTTGTCCGAGGGCAGCGTGGGGATGATCTTGCGCAGCGCAGCGAAGGCCTCGTTGAGCGACTGGGTGCGTTGGCGCTCGCGCACGTTGGCCAGGATGCGCTGGCTCTGCAGCTCCTCGAAGGACTGCGCGCTCGGGCTGCCCTTCTTGCCGCGCTTGCCGGGGGTCGGGCTGCCATCTTCGCTCGACTTCTTGCTGTAGCGCCGTTTCCGGCCGAAGCGCTTGGGCTGCCGCTCGAGCTCCTCCTCGCTGGTGCCCAGGCTGTCCACGGGGGACACGGGCGAGCTGGAGCCCTCCTCCATGGCGCCCGCCCGGCGCGCGTGGGGCTGGGGGCGCCGGGCGCCGAGCGCGCGCCGCTGGCCAAGCCCGCGGTCGCCGAGCACACGCTCTCCGAGCTGCTCGAAAGGCTCTGATTTCAAGGCCGGCTTGTGCAAAACCGAGGTCTCCGGGAGAGGAAGTTATTCTAACTTTTTTGGAAACCCTAGCCGGGCTGGGTTGCTAAATAGTTGTCAGGAGCGAGGGCGGCGCGCTGATTGGCCGCCGCGCCCGGGGGCAGGGCAAGTTCTGGGGCCTTCGCTGGCCGCCCCCGCCCCCCGGCGCGGCACTTTCAGTTTTGCCTCCCCCTTAGGCCCCGGCCGCGGCGGGCACCCGCGAGTGCCGGGCCCTCGCGCGCCGCCCGCGCCTCCATCCCGGGCCCTGACCGCTCTCCGGCCGCGCCGCGCCCTGGGCTCAGCCGACCCGGCTTTGTCTGCTCCTTAACTGGAGATCGAAACCCGCCGGGCTGCGGGGTCTCTCCCGCGCCGCGAGGGGTGCGGGTGGCGAGTCCTACCCTGGAGGCGCTCCCAGGAGGTGAGGACGCGGCGGGGAGACCCCCCCCGGGGGCGCCCGGGCCAGTGTGCGCCTTGCTTGCTCCGGGGCGCACAGCGAGTTCGCGCTGTGGCCCGCACGTTCGGCCAGGGGTGGGGGACGTGCGGGGCCAGTAGCCCCGGCGCCCAGACAGCGGGCGTGCGGACACGCGGGTGCCCTTGGAGACGCCGCTCTCCACGCACGCGACGCGGGAATCCGTGGAGACGCGGCCTGCTCTGCCCAGCAGTTGTATGGGGGAGTTTCTCACCCCAACTTGCTGGGGAGCCCCGACCCCGACGGCCTTAGCAGGCCGTCCTTCTAAGTGCGTTAAAACCTCAGCGCCACCGCGAGCCTCCGCGGGAGCGCCCGGCGCCCACCGCACCCACCTGCCTGGCCCCCGCCGGGGGTGCGGGAGCAGGGCGGGGGCGCCCTCTAGGCCGCGGTGCGGGGCCCCAGCCTCGGGGCCCACTATCTCCTTCGCAAATCGGCTGTGGACAGAGGGCGGTCTGGGGAGCCGCGCGGCCTCCCCTGCGCTGGGCGCCCGCGGGACAGCCCGGGCGGCCGCAGAGCGGGGGCCCGGCCTCGGCGGGCGACACCGGGGACGTCGGCCCCGCGCCATCTGGACGCCGAGCGCGGGCGCGTTTGAAGTGGTTCGGGGGCTCTTTGTTCGCCAGGCCGTTCTGGCTCGGGGCCTGGAGGTGGTTTACGGCCTGGATGCCTTTGAACCTATTCCCAGGTGACCAGGGCTCAATTAGACCCGGGCCTGAGCGGGGCTGTCAGGCGAGCCGCGTGATCAAGGGCGGGCTGGGCCCTTTTACTGCAGTTGAACTCGGGGCCGGCGTGGCTGGGCCTCGGCTGCTCCGCGGGGCCCGGCCGCGCCCACCGCGTTAGGAAACCCGAGGGCGAGCGGCTGCGTGTGCGGCCCGGGCGGCCCAGGGGGACGTTTCCCACCCCCGCAGTTAGCAATGGGAGACAGAGCTGGGGGGGAGAGGCTCTGTGGCTGCGTCAGAGCGCTGTTGGTTTGCAGTTTCTTCCCCACCCGCGGGCTTCACGATCTGAAAACTACAGGATCCTAAGACTACGGGGTCCTGGGGAGTCGCCGCGCCCAGCCCGCCGCGCCTGACCACCTCCTTCTCCAGCTCTGGTATGGCGCTCAGATTACCCAGCGCAGCAAAATAGCTTTCCATGTCTCTTTAAAAGTCTAAAATTAAAACTTAAGGAACAAAAGAGAGAGTGAGAGGGGCGTGGGGAGCGTCCTGGCCTCGCTGGGTCCCAGCCTTCCCGAGGCTTTGCGCGTCTAAAGGGCCTGCGCCGTATGGGAACAGCAACGACTTGCTGCTCTTCAACTCCGTGCGTCACTCAGTTTGCGGAGACCGAGGGTCCAGACCCCCGTTTCCCGCCCAGCTTACATAAGCCCAGAGACGTCCCTCCCCCCTCCCCCTGCCTATGAGCCCAGAGAGCGAGCGTGTAAGGAAGAGAGGAGCCTGCCTTGTAGGGTGCACCACCCCACTCTGTCTGCCCAGCTGCCCACGGGCATGAGAACAATTTCTGGAAGTCCCGTCTAAGAGCCGATCACCTGCCTAAGCCACAGCAATAGGGTGGAGTTGGGCTTACAAGGGGCTAACACCTGATATCCAAGGCACAGATCACCTACAGGTAAGATTCTCCTGTAGGAAAATCCCTTTTAGAAATTTCCCTTTGAAAAATCGCTCAAGAGGGCATAGGACAAGCCCTCGTTATAACAGTTAGACCCTTGCCTCGCGCGGCTAATGTTACCACGACAAGGCTCGAAAGGATGGTTCCTCCAGTGTGTGCAGTTGTACGTGGTGGACGGGTGCTCCACGGTCCTTTCCGTCCTTCTCCTACAGATCCTTCCCGAACTGCAGGAGTTGAAAAGCTACAAATGACCTCTCTCAAACTCTGGCAGCCCTGGTCTGCAAGATGCAGTCCTGGGGTGGAGATGTTCGGCTGCTCCTGGAAGTGCAGTGTCTGCTCACATCTAGAGGCAGGGGGAAAAGCAACCCTTTTCTGGAGTGGAACCCAGCAAGCTGGGAGTGTGGCAGTAGCAGTAGCTCCTTGATTCCAGGCTGGTTCTGGAATCACTGTTTTCCTGGTACAGTGAGGCAGTGGCTCCAAGTCTGCAGTATGGTTTGCAAGCCGGTCCCAAAAGCCCTGTCTAGAGTCTGTTTATCAGCTCCATTGCAATTCTGTCATATTCCCTAATAAGTTGTTTCCTGCATAAACTAGCCAGTGTGGGCCCTGTTCTCTGCAAAAGAACTCTGAGACACCCCGACTGTGGACCGTAGTGTAGAAGATGAACACTAGGGCTCTTCCCAGGGTGCCTTGTTTTCTTGACATCTCTCACTTGTAATGTGGGAATAACATGGGCCTTTGCCGCACATTTATTAATGCCTTTAAGATCAAATCAGCAACAAACTCATCCTATGATTTTTTTTTTCACATGGAATGTATACCTAATTTCAGTTTAAAAACAACACCAGAGGGCTTCCCTGGCGGCACAGTGGTTAAGAATCCTCCTGCCAATGCAGGGGACACAGGTTCGAGCCCTGGGCTGGGAAGATCCCACATGCCGTGGAGCAACTAAGCCCATGTGCCACAACTACTGAGTCTGTGCTCTAGAGCCTGTGAGCCACAACTACTGAAGCCTGCGCACCTCTAGAGCCCGTGCTCCGCAGCAAGAGAAGCCACCGCAACAAGAAGCCCACGCACCACAACAAAGAGTAGCCCCTGCTCGCCGCAACCAGAGAAAGCCTGCGCACAGCAACGAAGACCCAGCACAGCCAAAAATAAATAAATAAATTTTTAAAAATAAGAATGAAAAATAAATAAAAACAACACCAGAAAGATCAACCATGGCCTAAAAAGAATGGGAGAGAGAGAACAAGGTGTAGGGGTCTGGGACAGAAGCCAGGCTCCTCTGCATAAACCTTGTTATGTAGATTTGACTTTGAAACCATATAAATGTTTCACATAATTATTTAAAAATTAAACCAAAATGAGAAAAAAATAGAAAACCCTAAAAAGTCAAAAACAAAATCAGACAGATGTACCTAATTTTGTATCATCTTGGTGGCTTAACCATGCAGACAGAAATAATTTAAGATCACTTTAAACGCTGTGATTTGACTCTATCCATCCCTAGAGGGATAGACTAAAGGAGAGAGAAAAGAACCGCATAAAGGCTTAATCTGTTTTCGGTATTCATATTTCTAGTAACAGTATTGCTGCTGTCATTCTGAAACTGTGAGCTAAAGAAAGTTATTATGTTTACATCTTTGGGAAACGAGATTTCCACCCTAAAAGAAAAGAGATACAAATATAAAATGAGAGAAGTTAGGTAAGGGCATGGCTTTCTAAATTTGTTGGAAATATCAGTATGAGCTCATAATGTATTTCCTCTTAAACAATGTATTTCTTGACCCTGACCGTCGGAAAAGCACAGACGCCTTGAGTGACCCAGGGGCAGTGAGCACCCCTGGTGTCCATATGGTGGCCTCTCCTTGAAGAAATGGCTGACTTAAGGTCTGGGGCAAGACGTGTACAAGATAAACGCGGTGCATCTTTTTACACCAGAGAGCAAGGAAGCTTTCAGGGACTCCTGGTCCTGCTGGGATCGTGTTACTGCCCGGGAGCTTCCCACCACGGTGGATTGGGAGAGGCTGCCATCCACTGTGGTTCTAGGAGTAGCTGGATTTAACTTAGCCTGACTTGAATTCATGACTCAGGAAGGCTTGTTTTCTCTCCCCGGCCCCCCACCCCTTTCAGATAGTTCCTTTAAGTTCTCACCGTCCTGTCGTGTTTGTTTTTAATCTTAAAATCTGTCACATCTTCTGCCCTCTCCTTCCCTCCCCCACGGCTCTTCAAACTTTGCACTTTCCAGTGGAGCCCAGCAGATCCTGTTGACTCTGATGGGTGGAGAGATAAGAGGACTTATGGTTACACTCTGATAAAAACACGCATTTTATTGTACACTGGAGGGAGGAATTGATGGAAGACAGAAGAGTATTAGTGCAGGCTGTTTCATTATCACTGACTGTGCGGTTCATGCCACGCTAAGAAGTGGGGTAGGAGCCAGGCAGCAGAGACGTCGCAATGCAGCACGTTGAGGGGTGTAGTGGAGTGTGCTGGACCCGGGCTGAGGTCTGGGGTGCTGGGAAAGACATCAGCAAAGGGGGAGCAAGTCTACCAGGAGAGATGAGAATGTGTCAAGATCCACGGGGTGAAAGAGTCATGGGTGTCCCCACAATGGGTGGTCCCTGCACCTGGGAGCTCAGGGGATCCGTGGCCAGCACTCTCTTGGTTACTGATGATACAAACACAATCTGACATGCTTAAGAGAAAAGGAATTTCTTCACTACTTCGGAAGCTCAGGCTCTGGCTGGCTTCAGGCTTAGCTGGATCCAGGAGTTTCAGTGATGTTGTGTCTCTCTTTTCCCTGTTCACCCTGCAGCTCTGCTTCCCTCTGTGTGTGAGCCTCACTCTGTCTTAGTACAAGGGCCCCCCCCCTTGTGCCTGAGGATGACAGGCGTGACACTTCAGTGTCATATTATCTTGGGATGGCAGCACTAATTAAACAAGTTTTCTTCTGTTGCCCCAGCAGAGAAGGTAAGCATGGAACCCTGACTGGCTGGACTTCCACCATGTGGCTGGGGGCCTGGGGGCCCTGAGATTGGGGAGGTCTCGCCTGGAAGAGAGGCTGGGCCCATGAGCAAGGCGTGTACATTGCGGTGGCACCTGGGAGGAATGTTGGAGCCAGGCTCTCATAGGACAAATTACAGGGTTTGGATTTCCTTCTGAAGGCAATGGGAACTGAAGGAGAGTTCTAAGGAAAGATGTGATGACCGACTTTTACTTTGAGAGAAGTTGGAAAGTGACAGCCAGCTGGGGAGGTTGCATTCATCCATTTTTCCTCTTGCTGTATCTAGTTATGTTTTCACTTTTAGGTTTACCAGTTGGGAACAGGAAGACATGCAATTTAAACACTGCTCCATCTTGTAAGAAAAAAAGGTAAAACCCAGCCACGTCCAGTCTGTGCAGGAGCAGAGAAAGAACTGAGGAGGAATCAGGATTCAGTGCTCCGTCGCCGACCAGAGGATGAGCTTGGGTTAGTCCCTTCGTCTCAGCGGGACTCAGTTTCCCCTCTGTGAAAGAATGGCTTGGAGTGAAAGTTTCGTGAGGTTCCCTTAACACGACAAGGTCTAGGTTCTGTTTTCAGAAACTGATATCCGGGTTGGGGAACTTAAGCTTCATGTCACACTTGGACACGTTGTGGCATTTTGGAAACACCAGGGCCAGGGTGGGTACTTCCAGAACCTGGGGACTGGGTTTTTCTTTAATCTAAGTAATGTGCAGGGGAGCCTTGGTGACCACATGTGCCCTGACCCCTCATGAAGCCCCTGTCCTGTTGTGGCCTGGTCGTAAACTTTCCTGGAAAGGTCATGTGAATGTATCGTTCCCCAATACTTTATAATTAGAAATTATGGTCTCTCTTCCACGTGACACTTTTGAGCTTTAGCAGATCTTAAATTAAAACTGTATACATGTTTTAAAATGTTCTTCAGAAAACTTTAATTGCACAAGTTGAAAATTCGACTGAAAAAGTCCTGAACGCTTATCTAAATAAACATACAGATCTGACCTCAAATGTTTCAAAGAATAAATTTGGAATTAAACGTGCATGTGTTAAAACTCTGGTTATGTCTTAAGTATAAAAGCTCATCAAAGAAGTCTTCTGGGGGAAACACTTCAGGGTGTATGGCAAGTTTCTCTTTTATAGAGGCCACCAGAGCGGTGGGGAAGTGGGCGCAGAGCTCTCCCAAGTGACCGGGACACAGAACAATTGGCTGTCCTTGTTTAAAGAAGAAAATGTGTGTGAGTGAGTAAGTGTGTGTGTGAGAGAGTGTGTGTGTCTGTGTGAGTGTGTGTGTGTGTGTGTTTACATAGGGGTAAGGGGTGAGATGTAACTTCTCCAGGCTACACATTTTTTAGAAGGTTTTTAATTATTTTGCTTGACTCCATTTTCCTACTTCATTTCTTCATCTCCTACTTTAGGGAAGATGGATAAATAACAACCCAGGTGTACCTCAGTTTCCCCTCCTCACGGGTGAAAGTGCTGGGGAGGACACTGGGCTCCCTTGAGCTGGAAGCCGGGAGGGGCGTGAGGCCTGCTGGCTCCAGGCTTCTCCCTCCGATTCTGCTTTTTCCCTCTTCAGCCCTGCTGACTTTTCCTTACCCCTCTTCAAAAAGGGCCTCGCACCCAACTCCGAGGAGACGCCATCTGAACTCTGAATATAAAGGGAAACTAGCTTTATTTTAGTTTTTTGACGGATACTTTTTTCCCCCCGGAGGAAAAGTTAATGAACACTAGTATCAAAGGATGAAAGTGTCACCTTTATTTCCCTGGGTCGCACAGGAAATATTTTGTAGGTATGTGGTACATCTTTTGGGTGGGACTCCTATACCCTGGATCCATTCTGAAACCCGTGGCCTGCTAACTCGTGGCTGAGCAGCTGGGATCACACTCGCTGGGTGGGACTTCTGTACCCTGGATCCATTCTGAAACCCGTGGCCTCTGCTAACTCGTGGCTGAGCAGCAGGGATCACACTCACTCATATTTTGGCTGTACAGAGGTTTGCAATTTAAGAGGAAGAAAATGTTTTTACTCATTTTCCATTTTTAAAGTCATGTAAAAAATCTGGAATATTGTTATTTTTTAAATTCCGTGAGTAAAATTTTGGTATATAATCAATAACCATGCACATGATGGGAACCTTCACATAACTAGCTGTTTTCTTTATGCTCAAAGTGAAGGAAGATGGTCAACTCAATGGAGAGGAAGGTGAAGGAGGAGGAGAGAAGGTGATGGAGGAGCTGAATACACCAAGTAACAAACCCAAGAAACAGAAAACAGTCTTGTGCTTGCTTCTGGGGTGGGTGGAGAAGTGGCCCAGCTTCCCTCACCACCACGCCACCCTCTTGACTCCCTCGTTGTGTGTCTTGAGACACTGAGATCCCCAGCCAGCAAGCAAGTATATTCCATATACAAAGGTAGGAAAGCGGATCTAAGTATGGGATGGAGAACTGGGTCCCTATCTCCTTTTTTGAAGGTATAACATACCTGCAAATAAACTGCACCCATTGTGAGTTTAAAATGTGATACCTTTTGACAACTGTGCAAAACATTGCCATCACTCCATAAAGTTCCCCTGTGCCTTTTGCAGTCAGTCACCTCCCCCTCCCCAGCCACTGGCACCCACAGATCTAATTTATGTTCCTGTTTTGCCTTTTCCAGAAAGTCATAAAAACGAAGTTGTACAGGACATAGCCCTTTGTGTCTGGCTTTTTATACTTAGAATAATGCTTTTTAGATTCGTCCACACTGTTGCATGCATCTATAGTTTGTTTCTTTCTATTGCTGAGTATTCCGTTGTATGGAGACACTACAATTTGTTTATCCATCTATCAGTTGATGGACATTGGGGTTGT